TTTTCTAGATAACAAATGACAAGAAGAGAGGAAGAGTTGTTCCAAGGAAGGGGATTGGTTATTAAAAAAACATTTCTTCATGAAAAGGATTGTCAAACACTGGAACAAGCTTCCTGAGGAACTGGTGGAATCACCATGCCCAGAAGTGTTCAAAAGGCATGTGGATGTGGCTCTTGGGGCCAGTGGTGAACACAGTGGTGCTGGATTAATGGTTGGACTTGATTATCTTAGAAGTCTTTTTCAACCTCAGTAAGTCTATGTTTTTAAGATTGTAAGTTTTCTTTCAATAATCAGCCAACAGATCCATCAGGACGGCAGACAAGAGCCCCCTCTAAGTACACTCTGTCTTTCCTTTATCTTTTTTTATCTTTTTTATCTATCTGTCTTTATCCTTTATCAAAACCAGAATTCATGTCATTCCAGCAGTGAGGTGTTTTCTTTCATTTTTGCTTCATTAAAATTAACTGTAGAGCTGGGTTGTATTTTTTGTCCAGAACAATTTGCACTATGTCATTTTCTTGTTTAGTTTAAACAACTGGCAGTAATAAAACAAGAGCAGGTGAATGTGTTACTATGGTTCCTGTTTGTAGTGCAGAATAACAGACATAGAAAAAGAGCACAGAGGCAGGAAGGTCACACTCTTTGCCAAGAAGATCTATCTTTTAATTCAGATTTTGGTATTTGTAAAGTTATTCGTTCTGATCATCCTTTGTTGGATGTGCAAATTAAATTATGTGATTCTCTATCCAATAACGTTTTTTGTTTTCCTTACTCTAAGTGTTATATGTCTAAACACAGAAAGAAGAGCATTCCAAATTCATGGGATGCAACAGATACAACCTCATTCAAACTACCTTAGAAAAGAAAAATCTGTCTGGCTCATGGTTTTGACTGCTACCTGTGATGCAGAGAGAAGAAAACACCAAGTGCTCTTACAGTTGCTAATTTATCATTAGCATAGTTTGTGTCTGCATTTGGTCAGGTATTATTTAAAATAATGTTTTCAGGGTATCAGATTTATTTTCTCATGAAGAGAAAGTTCGCTATGTGACAATGCTTTGCCAAATTAATGCTTCCACTCCCCAACTCCCCTGTCCCACCTACCCCAGGTGAGGCCAGGAGAACACACCAGAGACACGAAACACAATTCCTTTGATATCTCTCCACCTGACAGGCTGCTTTTGGTGTAAGAAGTACTGCAGGTTCTAGAAGAGCTCAGCAATGAGAAGATGCTTTGCTGGTAAATATAAAAATGGAGGGCCTTGTTTCCTCAGTCCACAACAGACAGACTTCATTGTAGCAGGTGTGCACTTCTTGAATGCATTTAATCGTGTGCAGCATGTTTGGACTGAAATGTTGCAAAAGACAGATCTCAAGCCATGGATTTACCTTTTTTTTTTCCCTATTCACACAGATTGTTACTAATTTCATCTAAGTAATTCACCTATGAAGAGATCACTAAAGCCAAAGGAAGGAAGCAACATGAGCTTTTTTTCTTAACAAGAAATCATGCACAAATAAGTGTTTGACTTTTGATATAGTTTAGTTCTACTATGTAATATAAATACACTAGCAGAATATAATATATAAAATGCCCCCTTCAATTGTAGCATACTTCTACCAATAACCTTTGGTCTGAGGAGAGCAACAAAGTAAAGAAGTCTCATTCTTTCTCAGTTCTGATAGCCAAGGATACATGAAAATTGCCTTTGTTATGAATAGTGTTTATTTTTTTGTTTTGCAAAACAAAAGATATTGCAAATCCTTTCTGCCCTTTTCCCCAGATATTGATCCACCTTATCAGCTCTACCTCAGTCGTGTCAGACAGTTAGAGACATCCAGGGAGAAAAACTGTTATCTAAAGAAGTTTCTCACTTTCCTTCTTGTTTTACTTCATTCTCTTTCTTACCAAGGAAAAGTAAAAAAAAGCATGTTTTTCTCTCTGATAAAAATTCAGACACCAGCAAGGAGAAAAACTGGTCTGCTGCAGCACTTGCTGAGAACAAGCAATGACCCAGCATTATTCTCTGCCAGAACTGACAACACAGATCCAGATGGACTATCTGATCTCTAACTGTCTCTATAATAAGGACCATGTCAACATGTTGATAAAAGAGGGACGGATGTATTTGCTTGTTAATACTCTTGAAGGTCACAGGCAAAACTAAAATGGTAAGCAAAAGAAATTTGACTACTCTGCAAGCAGATCTCAAGCATCTATTGGCTAAACTTACAGAGTGGCCATGTCATCTCTCAGTGTAGAACCTTTCATGCCCCTCTATTCCCTTGTTGCAGTGACTTTATGGAGTAGCCATGCATGCATGTGAATGCAGTTTTTGAAGCGTAATTTCTACGCAAACATGCTGAAATCTGTGAAATCTGCTGCTAAAGAATGTGATCAATCTGGTTTTCTTCCCAAGCTCCCTAGGAGTCACACCATGAATTAAGTCTGTTTCTCAGAACAGAATAGCCAGTGTTTCTTTGTCTAATAAGATGGAGATGCATTCCAGAAATAAAATTCCTGTTGTCTCTGCAGATGTACAGAAGCTGGCTGGTGCTACAAAATGTGTATTCAATTAAGTCAAAGACTGTTGATCAACTGGCAAATATTGAAAGCATAAAAAACCACACTGCAAATATATGGCAAATGTGCATTTTGGCAGGTGAACACAAGATTGTGAGTCTTCCACTCTTTGTCAGTTCTGTGCTGGGACCATAAAGGACTGCCATACAGGATGCAAGGATGCATTAGAAACCTAGTGTATGTCCACAAATGTCTATATCATGGCCCTGAAAGGTTGGCCTACACCAAAGGGAATTAAAACACCAATAGAGAGATGAAAGAAGATAAGCTGGGGTAGAGAGAGAGTGATCTAATCTTTAAATTTTAATTAAAGAGGTACTAGAACAATCTTTTTTCTAATTGCAATCTTTACTTTAGGGAAAACAGGGCAGTTTCTTAAACCATGATTACTCTTGTTCTTACGTTTTCACAAGGAACACAGATGTGTAAACTACAGAGGGTGGGTGACAGAGAACTCTTGGAGGAAATTGTAGCAAGGGATCTTCCTATTTGATACAAGGCAATAAAAATCCTCATTGTGAGGATGAACAGCTCAACTGGAAATGCCCAACAAAGCAAAGAGGTCTAGCTTTATTTTGGCCAGGTTTAAGTTGGGATGACTCTTCAAATAATTTTCCTGCAGAGGTCCATTCTAACCTTAGTCTATTATTACATGTGTGTGAGCTGACAGCAGTCAGGCTTATATACATATGAAGATCACTAAAGACAAGTGACTTAGACAGAAATCTCAGAAAAGACAACATGTATAAGCCACATTAATCATGCTGTGAAATAAAAAGCTCATTTTGGAGAAATTATTTCATTTGAGAGCTGGAAAAACTCTCCATTTTTTTCCTCTCCAGTTTTCTAACAATCTATAGAGAAAAATGTTTTCTTGACTTAGTCTTTACTAAAAAGGGAGAAAGGTACATAAAAAAGTAAAACACAATAAAATTGATTCAGTAACAAGTAAAAAAACAGAGGTTATACAAGAATACACTTTGGCAAACTTAACTTTGTATTTGAAACTCTAGATATAGGAAGATAAGGACATTAGGAGCTGAGATGTATAACTGAGAAAAATTACTTTCAAAGTATTAACAGCATGAAGAAATCTGACGACTTCTAAGAAAACTAGCTCTTGAAAGAGAGCAAAGGCCAAGCTGAGCTAAATTAGAGTCTAGGAATTCAGAAAATGCCTTCCTGCAGATTAATTTCTCCAGTTGGAAGAATGTTTTTGAAGATGATCATCAAAAGTGTTGTCTGCCTGAATACAGAAATAGAAACAGCTGGTCAAATTCTGGAAATTAAGGTCTTCAGGTTAGCGATTAATCTTAGAGTTCCCCTAAAATGCCTCTAGTAAAAATCCTACAGCTGTTAAAAGACTGGTATAATCATATCTGAGTCAATTTTCCTAGCCTGTGGCAGTACAGTGGTCAGTTCAGGTCAAAGATGATGTTTCAGGTCCAAATAAGATGTAACTGAAAGGCTGCATCACCATCCCTCCTAAAGTCAATATTCATTCTGAGACTAATAATGAATGTCGCTTATGGAACAGTGAAAATTTTTGTCAAAACATACCTCTGGAACTGCAGTCAGACCTGTTTCAGCAAACTTTGCCTCTGACTTCAACACACAGAAGTAACGGTGCAGCCCAGGCTGATTCAGAACTTACTCATCATCACTAGGGAGACAACTGATTCTGTGTGATTCCTGATCTATTTCAGAATATTTAATAAGATTTGGCATGTTTTGAAGGGGCAGAAGATGGGATGGATGATTAAACTTTTTGTGAAAGTTTAACAACTTCATCTGTACTCTGTTGTTATATGCACTTTTGCCCTTTGCAGTAATTGCTGCAGTTAATTCTGTCCAGAGAGCAGAGATTTGCCTCCAGAGACGAAGAAGTCTAGAAAAAATCTAGAAGTTTCTAGATTAGAAACTTTCCTGTTAGGGACTCACCCATCATTTGGAAGATAAAAAGGTGTAAAGGTAGCTTGTTTTAACTGATTCACTGGTAACTTTGAAGCTGGTTAAGCTGAACACTATTCAGGGCAGGGCCATATATCTCTACCCTCTGGGTATCATCTGATACACATTACTCTTATACAAATAAAAATAATAAACCATCACAGCAGTAACCAACTTGATGATCCCAGATGATTTTTAAACTACTGATTAGTGTATATCACAGAATGAAATTATTTAAAACAAAATAAAACCCCTCCACACTCTGTCTTTGGTACTTCATTTTCCTGTGACCACGGTGTATTTTCCTTGCACATGCCAACTAGTGCTACCACCTCTAGTACCACCGGAGGTTGAGTGTGGCAGGGTACTACCCAGCAAGAGAAAAGGCCATGACCTCCTGTCTCAAGCCCATTTAACATAACAGAAAAAAGTCTCATTTCACATAACATTCACAGGGGTTACTCACGGCTCAGCTTCAATGCTCTGGTCAGCAGCTATGTAGTTGGCAGGGATGTAGCCCGTGAGCTTGCGGCCAGGACAGACTGACCCCTCTGGCAGGAGGAGCTTGGCATACCACCATCCCTCATGGGATGCATTCAGCACTTCCAGCTTATCCCCAGCTCGGAAGCTCAAGTCGTCCTCAGTGCGAGCATCGTAGTCAAACAGTGCCACAAAGTTGCAGATGTTTGCTAGATCCTGGCCAGGCAATGGAGGTAAAGGTTTCTCTTTTATCTTACTCTCTAAGTCCTTCTGTCCTGCTTGGAGGTCAGGTTTTACCACAGCAAGGTTGGTGAAGATCTGGCCTCCTTTGTCTTCCTGCTCACAGTTTGTCCCAAAGAATAAGCAGGGAAGGTAAGGCTCCAAACAGGGACAGTGCTTCTGGCAGAAGTTTCCCATCCTGATTCTTTGTTGCTTACTCTGCTTCTGCTTTTCTTCTGCTTTTCCTGGTTGTGAGACTCTTAGACCAATTTTTGCACCATCCACATCTTAGCTTTTTGTGGATTTCTTCTCCCCCTTCTCCTTTGGCACAAAATGAAACAGCTCTTGGCACAGCTGGAAGCTCCTCTCTGAGTCCCAGGGAGAGCTCATTACAGACGGCTCCCAATTAGGGAGTGAAACCTAGCATTCAAGTGCCAGCACACGTGTGCAGGGAATTTTTTACTTCCTCTTCAGAACAGGAAAGCAACACAACGGCTGTGCTGGGCTGAGCTCTGAGAACAACAGCAAAGTGAGCAGCCTCTTCTGTTACAGCAAAACAATGAAGCAAGAACATGTAAATAAGGGAGGTTTTTCAATTCCTTCTGCTCAGGATGGTTGTTTTCTTATCTCAGATGTGGTCTGGTCATACGATCAGTGGTGAATGTCTGTCTTGGCAATGATTAACCAAACTGACCTGCCTGCTTCCTCAGCAGTCTGACGTGGACAGGTTGAATTTTTGTTTCCTGGTTTGTACTGGTTTCGTTTCACAGTGGGAAGCCTTTGCTCACCTGAGACTGGCAGACGCCCTCACCAGGAGGAGTGCACCTGTGGCTCCTGCCCTCACTCACACCTGGGCACATTCCCGGCCAAGTACCGCCCCCCAAACCAACCCTCTGGCTTTTTTTTTATTTCTTTTTTTATTCAGCTTGGATGGGCACTTTTTACAAGGAAAACCAAATATGTATGGTTTACAGTAATAAAGCAGCATATTTTAAGTCATTCCTTATTCTGCATTTTAAGGAAACCAAGCTGTTAGCCAAAAATGTTTTCTCTAAGTGGCTGGCTAATTAAATCAACCCTATATAAAAATAATGGTTTTCCAGTCACCCTGCAGTTACAATGCATTGACCTGTATATTCCCATTTCTAAAGCATCTCTAACCCAGCATACAGACCAAACATGGGCATCTGGATACTGCTGTGGCAAAGCAGGCTGAAGGGCTGGCTGCTGTATCACAGCGGTGCAACCCAAAATTGTAACTCCTGGAAATCACCACAGACTGGGGGACACAGAATGGTTGGAGCAGGAGCAGGGAGCACAGAAGATACAGAGATAGCCTGTCTGCACACAGTGGTGGCATTTCAGTAAGAGACAAACTCTTACAGATCAGAGTCTATTTATTGAGATCAAAATTCAGATATGGACCTATCATTTCCTTGAGATTAAAACACCCAGGTCCTTTTTTTTTTTTTTAATAGGAATTTGGTGCTGCTTTCCTAAACCAATTACACATCTCTCAGTTCCGTTTAGAGTTGCTGACTTCTGTAGTTTTACTTTACTAGAAAGAAAACCACTAAATAGCAGAAACTAAACACTTGCTTTCATCATGTTTCTCATCCATTTGAATGAGATCAGTGGCAGAGGCAGAAGGCTACTGATGGACTACGGACTGTGGGATGACTAAAAGATATCTCCAGTGATAATGTTAATATCAGGTGCATCTCCACTGAAGAGGAATGGGACCCGCTTACACAGACTTCTGCAATGCTGCAAAAGAAATTAAATAAAGGAGGAAGTACCATACACATCAAGTCGTCATTAACTCTCATCATCTTTAGGGTCTGGTGAAAAAGGTATGCTGATTTTGCAGATTATGATAATCTTATTTAGTTTCTGAAGCACCACTGGAGATGATTTTTTGCCAGTAATTATTAACCACATAATAGTAAGAACACATATATCCAAGAGATATTTACTTTTCCTCAGTGTAACAATATCCAAAGGAAAGAAAAACCAATATTGATAAAGAAACTATGTTCATTGGTCCTGTTTAAAGAATTGTCTACATTTACTGAAAGCATAGAATATTAGAAACTTCTACTAAGTAATCTGCCAATTTTCAGTTTCCATATTTGATTAACTTTTCCTTTAATTATTTTTGGTTCTGGCAGCTTGGGCATTAATTTGACGAAGCTTTGCAAACTCCTTTACTGCCCTGAATAGTTTCAAATTGACAACAGAGCCATTTGCATCATGCAGAATCAAGCTGTACAATGCACAACCATTTTCAGGATCAAGTCCCACCTTTACACTCAGAAACCAATATACAAACACATTAGAAACCACACTGCATTCACTGAAACCACTCAGATAAGTATTTATAACTGTAACTACAACAGGGCTTAAGCCTACAAATAGTTGTGTATATGACTACCTTATCTCAAAGAGCTCCAGGCATTAAATTCATCTTCTCCCTCAATTTGCCTCTCTGTTTGTCTTTAGAAGAACAGAAAGACTTTTTCTGGAAGTGATCAATAACTATAAATCAGGTTCTTTTCATCCTGATCTTCAGGACCAGTTCTATGTATTAACCAAATAGACTTTAACAAATAGCCATTAAATTCATTAATCAGATTTAAAAGGCTTCTCAAAAAGAGAGAAGATTGGAGCTGCTGAGAACCACGGAGCAGATTTCCTATCCCATGTTGGACAGGACAAGTGAGCTGTGGTGGCCACGCTGCAGCACTTCTGCAAGGGTCTTTGTTCCAATCCTGGTGACTTTATTGAGGATTCACTGCATTTCTGAAAATAAAGTACTCTTAATCGTTTAGAGACTATATAATTTTATCACAGGCAAGAAAAGAAAATTAGCATGTAATAAAAATGTTCTTGCTGGTTTTACACAAAAAAATAAAATCTGATAAATCTCATAATCCCGATCTTCATATTCACAGTTTGGAACAAATGAGGGTACTCATGTATACTCAGGGGCTTTTCAATATAAACTGTTGTTCAAGTTGTCTGCATTCGTATTACATATAATTTAATAAAATAATCTTTGTATTACTTATTCTTTGGCTTAAGTTATTTCTTTTGTCTTGCATCCCACTATATTTTCCTTTTTCTGGAAAAGGAGACCAAACAATTCTGCATTGCTCTTTGGCCTTCTGTATCTTTATTTAATTTGTTTTGGAGCCTGAATCTTAATTTAATTTGTTTTGGAGTCTGAATATCAGAGCAGAAATTGTTAAAAAAAAATAAGCTACTAGAGGTAAAGTGACTATAAAAGACTTAATCAGAGATATTGATTAATTTTATTGGCAAAAATACTTCAAGAAGGATACATTCTTACAGCCAACATTAGCTAGCAAGAAAGATGAATGTATTGTAACCAGAATGGCACATTTACAGTGTGAAAACTGAAATTTAGTGTTCCAGTCCCTATATTATAAAAAAATGCCAAGCACTAATATTGCAAGTAATATCTTAAAATATGCAATGCCTTGAAACAAAGATTGATCATTGAAAAGCTGTGTCTGACAGAACTATGTAAACTTAGACTTTGGAAAAGAGAGCAAATCCATTCAATCAAGCAGTACTTTCCCCCTTCAAACTATGTAATTTCCTATTGCTTTTACTGTGTGTTTCCTTGTTCCATAAAGGAAAGAGTGCACACTGATACTATAGGTTTGAGGATGATGGTTATCTGAAGTTACTTTTTATATTCTATATATTGATTATCAAGTTCAGTATAAGTAAGACTATTACAAGGAGCATTACACCTGCTTAAAGGATTTATTCAAAGTCCTCTAAATCCATTAAATCAAATTCTAATTAATTTAAAGTCAATATCCCTTAGGCCTTATTCTACAAAACAGTCACGTTTAAACATGGTGGTGAAACATACTTCTCTTAGTTCACTGAAGGGATGGAAGAATAATATGTTAACATTACATCCTTCAGTAAACTTAGTACAGAACTAATCTGCAACACTGACATTAATAGAAGTGATCTTGGAATCAGGTCCTGCTCTGCATGAATTAAGGTATCAGATTAAGTTGTATAAAATAAGTACATATAAGATTTGAATCCACAATATTTCAAAAGCCTTGTTTTGATATAAATCCTATTTGTGTTACATGCCTTCAAAAATTATTTTGCATGGGTTTGCATTACAGATATTTCCTACAATTATTGGTTTGTATGTGCTCTGTATGGAGCTATTGGCATAAATACATAAAAACTTGTGAGTTTCAGAAAAAATGAACCCTCCTCCAACACATAAATAAGCTGGTTCATATTTGAGAGGCAAGGAGTGAACATCACTGAAACTCATTCTTTAGTACTGATGATACATGCTGTTTGAAACTGTTCCCCTATGTCATGCAGAGAAGAATTGCAGTCTGAGCTGTGCTCTGCTGGGGAGAAAGGAATATTCCAAGCCAATGCCCATCAAAAGTTTTGTTATGAATTATGAGTCAGTTGAAATTGGAAATTAAAAAAGAGAGTGTTTTTTCTTAATGAGATCACAACAGAAACAAACATTTTCATTCATAATTGTGTTGAATTCTGTAAAAGGAAAAAAACCTACATGTAGAAAAATAGATATTAAGGTATAAAATACAATAATTGTAATTAAATAATCTATGATGCCTGTAGCATCACTTTTCATACTGTATAATTTTTTTTGAGCCAGAAGTTATACAGCTACATTTAATTTATGCTTGTTTAAATATTTGACATTATTACCTTACTTAGAAAAACTTCATAATGCATTATGGCAAGTCAAGCCATTCAGCAAAGTAAAACATTCAAATAATGTGATCTTTAAAGAAGCTAGCAGAAAACCAAAAGCATTTTGCTTTGAATCTATTCTTGGGGAATAATTTAAATGACTAACCATTTTAAAGTTGTGTAGTTTTTTTAAGGTAACAAACTGAAATAAAGCACAGTGATTTTTTTTTTTTTACCACAGCTGTCTTCAGCTATATTTCTTTCCATTTGCGCATTAAAATGGAACACATTACTACCACTTTGTAGCTTTTTTATATTCCTTTTAATCAGCACTCTCATTTTGTTTCTCTAATTTGCAAATTGCCATTTTTTTCAGTGAAAATAAATTATGTGCGTAATTTTGCCCTTGACAAAATTATTTACTCTTATTGATTAATCACTTTCCTGATTTTGTCTATTATCTTAAACCATAAATCCATGAAGACGTATAGTTATATTTGGTCCTGCATTTTCCAACTTGAAATCTTTTTACATTTGTAATGAGAAAACTCTGGCTATTTATTTCCATAAGGCTGATCCAGTAATCCATCTCTACCCTGGAAAACATTAAAAGTATAGTTTCAAGTGCTTTGGTGATGAGGGCTGCTTATTTATTAGCTGAATTTGGGCCTGAAGCACACTACATCTGACAACAAATTAACAGAGAGAAATAAGGTTCTGTCAAAGATTGACGGAATAGAGACTTCCTCTATTCGCTCAAACAAACAGATCCCACTTTGCTCAAATTTAATGTGAGTTTTGCCATTATATGCGATGAGACCAGACCTCAAACATTATTTTTCATTTCATTGTACATTATTCTAAATGATATACAGCCCACAGTGTTAAAAATTGTAACTTAATTTGCTTTCTATGTAGCAGCCTCTCTGAATAAAGCCAAGAAGTTGTAGCTATCTAAGGCATGAAAAATACTTCTAATCAAATTTATCTCTGGGTGGGAAAAAATATGGCAAGTGGATGACAAAGAATTATCAGCAAACATGACTTCGCTATTCTTTTAAGAAAATGTATTCTAAACCTGACCCTGTTATGAATAGTTTTTAAATTTAGAATGTTTATATATTTATGAAGGTTTTATCATGGGTCAAGATCATTTCTCACATAACTCTATCAAACTCTGCATGCTACGACATAGATGACTTGCGAACATGATTTACCATTTTTATCTTAAGTTGGAATTGCATCCAAAGAAGCAAAGAAGTCCAAAGAGATATGGATGTAAAGGATCAGTGTATCAAAGTACTATATTCATTGTTTCACCTGCAAGTGAAAGTGCTTGGGGTTTTTTCCAAAAATAAAACCAGCACTCTCTCCTGACCTTCACTGTACCTCAAAAGACAGCATCTCACAGAGAACTGAACTTTACTAGTAGAATATATTGATCTACCATATAAAGGAACACATCTTATTAATTACATTAGATCACTGAAATATGACATACAAAACCAGTAGAAAAACTAATTTTTAATTTTATAATAGAATAGAACAGAGCAGAACAGAACAGTTAAACTGGAGGTGACCTGTAAAGGTCATCTGCCTGACCACTTCAGGACTGGCCAAAAGTTAAAACATGTTTTAAAGGACATTGCCCAAACACCTCTTAAACACTGACAGGCTTGGTGTGCCAACTACCCCTCTAGGAAGGCCGTTCCAGTGTGTGACCACCCTCTCAGTAAAGAAATGCTTCCTAACATCCAGCTGGAACCTCCCTGGTGCAACTTCGAACCATTTCTACACACCCTGTTTGTGGTTCTCAGGGACAAGAGATCAACACCTCCCTCTCTACTCCATCCTCAGAAGTTTTATTCTTCCTGCATATTTAAATAAAACTCATTTCCATGAATTTTGCATACACTTGGATTTTATAGATCTAAAATAGTCCTATAGGAATAGGACTCTATAATCAGAAGGAAAAGGACTCTGTAATCAATAGGAAAATGTTCTATAATCAGTTTCTATGACTATATGAATCCTGTGCATGGTCCACCCACCTTCCTGACTAGGTGTCCCTCTCTCCTTGTATATTTTTTAAATAGTTTTCCATTTCCTGTTTTCTTTCTGCTGTGTCTGCCTTTCACAGTGAGATGCCATATAAAGAACATTACCCAGAAGATAAGACACTCTTCATAAACCAGAGGAAAGGGAATTGAAAGTGCCCCACAGCAATCTCAAGATGTACACTTATATATTTTCCCTATGAAAAGGAAAGTTTAGGCAGAAAGAAAGCTATAAAGCTGGGGTATATTTCAAAATTATGTTAGGAAGTAGCAGCCAGGGTATGTGTTAAACTCTGGAAACTAAAATCTTAAACACCATAGTGTAGCCATGGCCAAAGGCACAATTGATATAAAAAACATCCTCTTACCTACCCATTTTCAGATACATAGGTACAATCTGATGGTCAATAAATATCACTACTTAGATGACTAATTTATATATTTGATCCAGTGAAAAAGGTCTTAAAACCACATTTGTCTTACTATGAATAAGTGACAAGATACTCCCTGGTTTAACTAAGAGTAGGATTACCTTTTTACCCTTAGTAAATCATTATTTTTCAATCAGTTTTTGACTTATATTTAGAATAGTTTAACTGTAAAAGTAAAAATGTGGTATATGAAGTTATTGTTTTACTGTGTTTCGACATCGGTCTGACCTGTTTCTGTGTGTTTGAAATCCAAAGTTTCACAAACTGACGCAACTTGTCCTGCAAATGTGTATCTTCTTACTGTTCTTTCTTTCCTTTTGTTTCAGCATTCTTGTTTCTCTCTAGAGATGTAGAAAACTTCTGTATAGTTTCCTACCTCCTCTTTTCTTTCTGCTGCATGTCTTTCACAGCTGTACAGTGAGATTCTGTGCAAAGAACATTACCCAATATGCAAGACATGATCTTTATAAACACAGGGAAAGGGAAGCCAGCAGCTTTGGCGATACTCACTTTTAGTAAGGACTTCTGATACAGAATTCTGTTGGTGTAGACAAAATAATTCACCTTCTTCCTCTGGATTTTTTTCCCAAATTCATATTTCTTTGTCTTTGCTTCCACAGCTTTAAACCTGATCAGAATTGCCTCTCTCCCTGTCAAGAACACGAAGGTAGCTAAATGCAGACATATGGTTTTCCTAAAAACAGAAGAGGTTGCTCTGACCTGCTTCACAGACATACACAGAAACAGAGTACAGATATTTAAACAGTTATATGGACTCTTCTTGATCACATCACCTCCTTCTTATCAAAATGCAGCATACTTTTTTTTTATCCTTCCATCAGACCACGACTAGACACCCTCTAGGGGCAGAAGCAGAACAGCAAATAACACATGCAATTTATATTCAAAATAAGCTCTTATATTTTAGACTTATAAGCATTAATATTAGCTTTTTGTTATTGCAGCCCCAAGGAATATCACTCTTATTATAATCAGCAATGGACACATACAGAAGAATATATGTATTGAATAGAAGATCAAATGCTCCTTAAGAAATCCTCCTTAAGAAAGAGGGTTTATAGTTAAAGAAGGAAAAAATTGGTCTCTCTACTCATAATAGTGACAGGATAAAATTTGATCTTGAAAATCCTAACATGGTAAGGATTGTAATTAATTAAGTGAGTTGTATGTTAGTTTGAAAGCACAAATTTCTGTGTTACATTACAGCGAGTTAAATTTTTCTGTACTCAGTCCTAGTAAGACCAAAATTAGAGCAACATGTCCAGTTTTTGATCCTGTGTTCCAAAAAATTAGATAATGACCAGTTTGGTAATGGAGTGATGAATGAACATCATCCAGATTGAGAATCAAAGATAAGCAGGTTCAAAACCCCTCAGCCCTTAAGGAAGGAACTTGAACAATGAAACAAAAGGAGTCTGTGGGAAAAATAGTAGCAGCCTTCAAATAGATCGAAGTCTGGCACATAATGATGTGCTTCTCACATCTGCTAGGAGTAGGATGCAACACAAGAAAAAAAAGATGCATTAGAGCAAAAAAGACTTTGTTTTGAAATGAAGGGAGGAAGAAAACTCTGTGTTCTGCATATAAGGACTATTAAACACTGGAAAAAATTGTCTCAGTGGCTCTTCCAAAGGGATACTTTTAAATAAGTAGACAATTGACTTTTATGGGTGTTTGTAGTCAGATTGATCCTGCCCCAGGGCAGAAGATGGCTGTTGTTAGGTCTTTCCTAGTTCTGCTATCTCCAAGTCTGCAGGGTTATAACTGTAGCATTTCCCACCTGCTGTTCAATACCTCTGTTATTTTGTGCAGACTGTGTATTGGAATACACCACAATTTTATTTATTTTTTTTTAATGCAATGACCAGCAAATGTCAGGCTTGAAATGAAAGCCTGTAACTTACTTGGTCAACTCAGAAATCTACAGTATGTCAGAATTAGATATATTCCTGGTTTACTCAAGCAGATATTGAAGCCATAAGCAATTTATATTATTTGTCCATTAATTCACCATGAATACAAATGAATGGGAAATGAGGACTGAGAACTGAGTAGTCCTTTGGATTTTATCCTTAATATTGTAAGCATAAAATAACAGTAGGTCCAAAAGAACAAAAAAAAAAGAAAAAACAAACATTGGAAAAAATAAGGCAATGTCATAAATCATAGAAACTGCACCGTTCTCTCACTATTAAATACTAAAAGGTCTACTTTGGAAGCATAGCTTCCCCAGAAGTCCATATTTCTAGTGCAATTTCTTTTGACTAAATGTAACATCCAGGACAAAAAGAAAAATTTTTCAAAGTACCTTTAAACAACTATGCAGAGTTCTAAAATATGTACTCACTAAGGGTCCAGCAATCAGTCTTGGTTATTAATCATTCTGACAAAAGAAATTGATTTTCATTTCCCTCTTTCATGTTGTGTGGGAACAGCCTGAGGTAGATTACAAGATCTGAGAGAGATGATAAGGACAGTAAGAAGGCTTTTGAGAGACTCTGAGCACCTAGTGGATTACTGTCTGTTTAACCTTTTGATGAACTATTGGGTTTTGTTTTGGGAATCTTGTCTCTTTAGCATCCTGAATCTCGTTTCTGTGCTGGTGAGTTAGAATGTAGGGAATATAGTACTGAGGTGCCAGGTGTAATTAGATGTCCTAATCCCAGTAGGACACTATAAATTTTATGTGTGCAATTCCACTAAAAAGTTGATATGTCCATATTTAATACCATATAAAAAGGCTCCTAAACAACCCAATAAATAGTAAAACTTCTGAAATCACTGGAATTTAATCGAATCTTAAATCCTGATCAATGCTTAAGTATATTCACTAAGCTTCTCTACCTAGTAACAAGGTAACCTGTGTGCCACAGAGGGATGCCTTGAAGATTATATAGTATTTTGTTCAACTTTTAAAAGTCTACTAAAGAAATAGGAAGTTCTAGAGACTGCTTTTCAAATAAAATATATTCATGACAGATTTCACTGCCTTGCAGAGACAAAGGTGACCCTTAAAATAAATTAGTGTTGATAGACCTATGTATCCCAAAGTATCACTTTGTAATAAGTCATAGCCCTACTTCTGTATATCCTGAGATTATTCCTCTGATCGTTCCCAAAGAATATTTCCTTCTTAGTGTACTAAGCTTAAAATCAAGGAACCAAATCCAACAATCCTGTTTAAATGCACGAAGAATCCCATTGAAGCATCATAGGATGCTTCAGGGTGAGGATGCTGGGCTGAGAGGCATTCTTATACGTGTGCACAGAACAAATTCATGGGATAAAAGCTAAATCAAGTGTAAACCTGAGACTCACCTCTTAACAGACTGCTAAAAGAAAATATATTTTTGAAAAAAAACAAAATCCAACACTTTTTGGTTTGACTAATATTACTCCAAAAGTATTTTCATTTGTTCATTTGTTTTGAAAAACCAACAGGGAAAAATCTAGAATGTTCTGACCTTACTTCTGTGTAAGAAGGTGTTCCTTGACTGAAATGAAACAGATTCCTGTTTGTTCAAATTCTTATCTTCACATATCACTATTGCATACTCTTCTATAACAATATGAGGGTGCCTCCTTTTTTTTCTTTTTTAACTAAAAAGCTTAATAACCCTATGGTTAACCTAACCCTAACTGTATTTCTTGCCAAAAACAGACAAATAGCTACAGCTGCATAGCTGGGACAAAGTCAACTTACACAGTCTAAGGACAACAGGCACGAAGTTTAAGGAAAGCTAAATAGACTAAGGTGCAGATAAGTTGCCAGCTAACTCAGAGGGATGCTCCAATGTATTGTACTGCTGCCCCCTTAAGGACAAAGAAAGCGAAGAGCTGCACTACCTATCTTGCTTAGAGGCCTACAACTTTGTGTGACAGCTAGGATTTTGACACAATTCTCGTGCCTTTATATACGTTACCACACTCAGTTATGTCCCTTTTGCTCTCCAGGTCATGTTATTACGCTCTTGTGCTCTAAAGATGCCTGTTCTGCATGGAAAGCAGGCATGAGGCAGAATGGAACCCAAAATGCTCCTTTTCTGTATTTCCAAAAGGCTTTGCCATATCAAATCACTCCACACTCTTCCTGCAGGCTGCTAAACATTAGGGTGCTGAGGGTGTGCAGAAGCCACTGTCCTCTCCTTCTGGCTCCATGGGTGTCTGTGCATTAGGGGTTGAGGGCTGGAGAGGGAATGTTCCTCCAGGCAGCCTTGCAGCCCCAGCCTGAGGGATGTTGGGCTTCAGGTGTGCCACACCACAAGCAATTCTATCTCCTACAGACTCACCAGTTAGAAATTTCCCCTACTAGGACAGGATTTGTGATTTTTCTAATTTGCCAATTACCACATATTTACAACAGAAAAGAAATTACTGTGATGCACAAATTAACAATGGGGCGACCTAAAAGAAATTCAGTTAGGACCTGATAGCCCAACAGTTCAACTTCAGTTATGTGGACATCTCTGAGTGCCTCATGGTGCCATCAAACCTGAAGGACAGGGCTCAAAGAGTGCTGTAAACACATTAAGGTGCTTCAGTTTTTGCAGAATTTTATTAAATAATTTTATCAAAGAATTGCAGAATTGCAGATTTTCATTAAAAGCAGCTCCTTTCTGAGAAGGGCCCTAGAATGGGATGTCAGTATATTTAAAGAATTCATCTGAAAGGAAGAAACTGACAAAACGCTTTTAAGACAAAAGAAAAAAAAAACAACTCTGCTGTATTAATAATGTGCTGAAAGTAGACTGACAAGACTATTACCAAGCTTGTGTTGCAGATACTGAAGGTGTTATTTTCTCATTTATCTTCTCTTTCCCCAAAACTGAAAACCAATTCTCTTCATTAGTATTTTCTCTATTTCTTGTTGTCAGACTTCTGATTTAATATTCAGCTTCACATACCTGAAATTTAACTTGCTGAATCCCTCCATAGGAGAATATTGTTCCCTACACAAAGCTATTTAAGATGATTAGTACTTCTGCATTGTAAATTCTGATAGCTTGTCATTGTTATCAATATAATTGTGTCACATTCACACAATCTGGATGTTCAAAATCACATTCAGTTGACAGTGACTACAGTGACCAGATAGAAAGGGTAGGACTAGATGATCTTTTAATCCAAACCATCCTATAATTCTATCAATGAATACATGATTTTTAATATCTATTTAGATGTTTCAATACTTCAGTGTGTTGAGTTGGTTTTTTGGTGAGTTTTTGTACAGAAATGCTTTACTGGCATAGCAAGTAAAATATACCTTTTAAATGCCATAACCTAAACACTATTTTGGAAGCTACCTGAATCCTTTCCAGGAAAAAAAAAAATAAACTGGAATAAGGTAGCTGTACTGCTATAATCTGAAAGGCAGACAAATTTTATGTGAGAATAGCATGAAACACTAACAATGCATGACCTTTCAGACCTTCTGAAGTCAATCAAAATTGTGGCCATCAACTTCAGTGGAAGAGGAATTTGCTCTGTGTTTTCTGAAGTGAGCAGCTTTAGGAAGGTAAATGGTTTTGTGCTCTCAGTTCCCAGGCTGCTGCTTCATCTGGACAGTTATCATCCCTGTTGTGCGTGAGGTCCTGGATATGCCTTTATTGTATGCTCAGGTTTCACACACATTAACTTTT